AGTTGCACAGTTTACAATATAATTTGGAGTTTAATTCATATTGAATACAATACCTTTAATTGTATGAAGTACACCAAATGTTTGAAGAAGACACAATGTGCCCTTCAGCCTCTTCTGGGTTCACCGTGCCTCTCGTATTGTGACAGCTGGGATAGGTTCCAAGTCCCTTCAAACCTACAAGAAATAAGCAGAATAGAAGATGAATGGATAATATGCCCTCTTATTAAAAAGCTGACACAATTTCCTGAGGTCTTGGTTAATTGTCTGGCACATACTTGAGTCAAAATGATACTGTGCAGCATTTTCCTCCCATTAAGTTAAATATGTTCAATACAGATAAGTTATTTGAAGCAGATAAACAACAGCATGAGACTTCTCAAAGGGCTTTAGTCACATTTGTTGCCCAAATGAAATGAAAACAAATGCCTGTCCACTATATTTTTCTCAGGGTGGATATTCATAATTAAATGCAGTGTTTTTTTACATTGAATGTGCTCTGCAGAACTTCTTGAAATGTATTGTTTACTCCTGAATAATTCTGAAATGTATTTAGAATTCTAACTGTAACACGGACACCTTAAAATTGGCCTTTGAAAAAGAAATAATATCATCCCACACTACAATACCTTTGTTTCTCATCCCATCTGCCCAGAATAAACCTTTTCAGACTTTGAAAAGAATTTCAAGGGGGAAGGGAATAGAATATCATTAATGACGTGCAAAATACCACGGATGAATATTAATATAACCTTTTCTTATTGCATGAATACACCAGATAAATTGTTTACTTTACATGTACAAGGCATAAAACTTTCAACAGCGACATTGCAGATATAGCAGACACGTGTGGTTGTGAGTTGGGTGTTTCTAGCTTTATTCTGCCGCTTCCTGAACAAGTAAAGTACATTACTTAATTTTCAACCAATGTCAGGAAAGCAATTCAAATAACCACTTTATGTTGCTTTACCTCTGGACACAGGAAGTACTATAATCTGACTTTCCTAAACTCAGACCAGAATATTTATTGAAGTTTTTGTAGTGTATTAGGGCTAAACCCTACCAACAAAAAAAAAAACCATATCAGAAACTGTGAAACTATTCAATGAGACATATTTCACAACCACCTCCTGAGGTTTAAATGTAACATTTGTGAAATACCTTTATAATATTAATTAAGAGGAAACCTTTTAATATAAGTTAAATTTCTAGAAATGTCACAAAAACATGTTGAGGACCCAAGCATCCTTTTCTTTTTGAAAAAGATGTGTTTCATGATTAACTATGTAACTGTTAACAGAGTTCTTTTAAGGTAAACGGATCCAGATATTAAAGCACTTAATGGGCTTCAGCAACTGGGTTTACAGGTAATATGGTTTGGTGTTTGCAGGATAGACTGTAATGAGTGCCCGGTAGGTGTTTCCCAGGGAAACTCCTTCCAGCTGCTGGAAGTGGGTTTATCTTGACAGATGGTGGGTATTTTCCAGATGCTGGCAGCCAATAATCCCCAGGTTTGCAACAGACAGATTTGCCGTTTGGGAAGCCTTTAGAGAGACAAAGGGGAGCTTGATTAGATCGGAAGTAAACATGAGTAGAATCAATCACAAAATAGGTTGCCCATGTTCTACCACTGATCTGGCACAAGTAGAGATAAGACTGGTACATGAGCAAAGCTACACCCACACTTCACAGACACTCAGCCCCAGTGCTCAGCAGGGAGAGACAATTCAAATACACAGGTAAAGTATCACAACAGAGGACTCACCTGGATATGGTGACTCCACTTGACCTCCATAAAACAGCTACAACAGCTTTGAATGCATATGGTCAGACACTCTTCCCGTGCAGTAAGCCTTGAACCACAAAACTTCACTGTGACTTCACAATTGACTGTGACTTCCCCACGCCAATGTTCCATATTTTCAAATATTTTCTGGCTCATGTTTGGGATATGTTTGGGTGTTCATTAAAGACCATCAGTGCTATGAAGTGAATCCTTTCGGTACATTCCGGACCTGACACCAGCATCCTCCATGTTGCACCTGCCCAAAAATGAGGGGGCAACCCTGATCAGATGCCTCAGCACTGCGGCTGGATGATCTCTGGATGATCTTCACCTTTGACGGAAACTAATTTCAGCCACTTGTATCCACAACTTCGATCTTCTGGTCACCCTCAAATCTCATGAGTTGGACCAAGGATGGATCAGAAAATGCCTTGCCTTTCTGCTCAGCTTATTTTGCCATTGTGACAACTGACGAAGCTCAGATCCGTCAATTCATATGAGTAAGATTATCATTTTCATTAGAAGCGACATGATTTACATTCTCTCCCACTTGTTATATAACTGCTTACGAGAAAGTGATATCAGAGGAAAGGAATTCCCATTTCAGAGCTACCTGAATGAGGTGTGATTTCAACTTTATGTCTCGTGGGGATGAGCATGGAGAGAGGCTAGATAGTCTTAAACTAACATGAGCAATGATGTAAAACAGTCCTGCAAGCCTGAATGGTTTATCTGAATAATTTTGGACCCAGGCGGCCCAAAGAAAAGTGAAAAAGCTGCGATACCAGCATAGATGATCGATGTGTCATTTTTACTAAAACAGTGAAGGTCAAACTGAAAATAAAATACATCACATATTCAAAATTGACAAAATAATTTTAAAAAGTTGAGCTTTAGGTCTTCTCTTTGCTCCCTTTTTAATAATACATGGATATTTTTCACACATGTATTGCCTGTTATATCCATACACAGTGTATGCACAAGGAAAATACTCTCACAATGCAGTAGTACAAAGAGAAATAATACAGAACAGGACAAAATGTTAATAAAATAAGAATGGATATTGCAGGGTTAATCCAACCCCCTAATCCTGAGGTGATAAAGGGCTCAACATGTTTGCTTTGGAGTTATGAATATTTAGAAATATGGGATATTTCTGTAGCTGCCAAGTTTGGCTTATACAGACCTCAGCAGGGAGGTTGGAGCAACAATGGTTAGTGAATGAAAAGCGGGAGAATATTCATAGAGAGAAAGAGATGAAGAGGTGAGTGATGAAAAGCAGGAGGAAGATGACAATGTGAAAGAGCAATTTTGGCTGACACAAAAAGGGAAATTGTTTTCTCTCATAATAGAGGGATAAAAAACAGGGGGTAAAGAAAAAGAGCAGAATGCAGAGGGAAAAGATGATAAATGATGTCACGCACTCAGGAACAGACTGATAAGCTGACTGTATACAGATTTTTCAGCCTTCATCTACAACATCTGATAGGATGTAGATTACTTTTGCACCTTGTGCATAAAGATTCATTTTGCTGGGTAAGGTACTGAGAAGTCATACAATGTGACCACCCAGCTGCAAAACAGCTGGGATGCAAACATTACGCAGTCTTTTTTTCTAATCCGATCCCCCTGTCAGACTGCTGAGTAAGTTGCTCCTGCTCAAATGGAATGAATTTAAATAAAATGAAACACTATTGTAAATATTTGTCAAAGAAATGTCATTTTTGTATGAAAAATTCATTATTACTCAAAGAAGTTGCCCTTCAAAATGACGTGTGTGACTTTAACCGCACAAAAACCAGTCCCTTTTTCTCCAATGCTGCTGTGAATTGTCAGGTGATTATAATTTTTCACTGAAAGTTGTATTGAGATGGAAAAAAAAAAAGACCAAAAAAACATGAGACAAACAAAAACAGCAATCAGCGGGTTTGTCCATACACACAGTGTAATCCCTCAGGATAATATGGGGATTCCCAAATACCACAGAAATTGCAGATGGAGGCTGTGAAAGTGTTCAAAGAGATTAGAAATTGGACTGCACATGGGGAAAATGCTGTTACCATTACCCTGCACTTTTATACCCCCTCTGCTGTTACTCTGGGATTGCACTGTTCAGCTCAGTTACACCCCTGTTATATAAAAAAAGTCTGACATTTTGGACTTTGCAACGACTTGAAATCGTAGAACCATGTCCTTAAACTATCCTAAATGTATTCTGATTTTTTCTAGAAAGAAACAGATAAAGAGAAACCAATCACACAAACCAGACAGGTTGCAATACTTACATGTCAGAGTATTTACTTTACAGGTCTTTGAGTCTTCCTTTTTGCAGAGTTGTTAGTCCATCAGTGGGATGGCAGTGGGGAAAGTTTCTTCTGTTAGAAAAAAGTTTGACTGACTTCAGACTGGTGGAGTCCAGCCTTTATATTCTTTTCCAAGAGCAATATTAGCTCTTTCTGAAGTATTTGCAATGCTTTCTTCTTCACGGGTTGCAGTTGAGGAGGAGCCAATTCAAACTGCTGGCAGGGGGCAAGCAGATATAGATCAAAGGGAGCTTTAATGAAACTTATGAACAAAGATGAGATGTGGAGGAGGGTGTATGCAGCAAAATTTAAAATGCTGTAGTAAACCATTTATAATAAACCAGCAGAACAACAAATGGGGATGAGGAGGCCATGTGCAAAGGAAACCTGCTCACTGAAACTATGGACAATACATTAACTAATAAACAAAACACAGGGATGTGACTATCAGCAATGAGCAAAGAAAGACAAATAAATAAAGACTTAATGTTATCATTTGTGGTTGCTAGCTTCATTTTTCACCATGTTGGATTTCTTTCGTAGACTGGTATCCTATCCTGGTTTCACACTGTAACTTTGAAAAAGTGCCTTTTTACCTTCAGATTGGAAACATTCTTGTGTTATTTCTCAAATTCAATTAGCTTTTTATTGTTCGACACAGTCTCTCAGTGGATCTGGGTCTGAAGTGGACATTCCTGTCATCGTCATGTTTAATCAAGCTTCATCTTTTTTTTTCTTTGTGAGTGGCAGTATGCATCTGTTGGCCTTAAAAACACTGAAGGATTTTAGTGAAAAGCGAGTTTTGCCGGAATAACTGAGTAAGCCGTTTTGTGGATATACTGGCATTTTCTATTTATAAGCAACATCCATCGAAGTGAATCAGAGGCCTCAAACATATCCTTTTTTTGGATCATTTTATTACAAATTTATTGCAAATATATAAATAGATCTTTTGTACAGAAAATGCAAAGGGAAAATGTCAATATCAGCAACAGATAGATAAAGAAAAGCAGGAAGCCAAGATTTGTGTTTATCTATTCAGATCTTTGCCTCGTCTTTCCCCCCAAGGTCTCCAAACATTTACAGAGATTAACCAGAGGGGCAAGTGCCGTCGGATTTGAATAGATCACAACCATGGGACCATTGACTTGATACAATCTTGCTGTTGCTTAAAAAAAAAAAACAGAAAACAAAAAAACTTGCAAATGTCACAAAACTTCCAAAGATAAACCAAAACCACATGATAACGATAGAAGAATTTGATCTGACCCTCCAGGTTTTAAACAGACAACCTGTGATCATGCTCTGTCTTAGTTGGGTTTGATCATACTTATAACTAAGGGCGCTCTTGATTTCAACGTTTCAATCCTCTAATCCCAAAATGCTTTTTTAAATGGAAAAAATAAGAGTTAATCCAAATAAAAGCAAATTCACTACCACAGCAAAATGAATGCTTGTAACAAACGCTAAATCAAACACTAAATACATATTCTTTAATTAGCCCTAGAATTTAGATAGCTAGGTTTTCTGGCTTTTAAAACACAGTGTCCATTAACAAATGGAATATATCACCAGGATCTGGGGAAGTCAGGCTCCGCAAATGGCTAATCACTGATTATTGGCTGAGGAGGCTTAAACATCTGGTCCTGACTTAGTCATTTAAACAGTTACTCGGGCTCATGTGGATCGTATGTTTCTAATTGTTGAAGTTGAATGGTGCTTTTCTCAAATATGAATGTTGAATGCTTCTGTAGCTGCAAGGCCAAGGTACCATTATCTTATGAACAAATTAGACAGACATCTAATTTCCACAGTGAGTCAAGAGTGAACCGTCTCCTCTGCCATCTTTGTGCCAGCTGTTTGGAAGCGGCAGAGTTCCTAATCTCTGGCACTTGCAAGGCCAATCATTTTGCTCTAAGGCTACAGCAGTGGCTTGTGTGTCTGGAATAAAAATGAATGTCAGCCACTGCTCTCTGTGAGAGCAGAAAAAAATGAACAGGCATGTAGCCGGTGGGCCTTTGACGTTGGGAGTCTTGCCGCAGAGGCACCTCTGAGCAAGTTTCAGTGCACCGGAAGCAATGCTGGAGTAATGGGATCTCTGAATTTAAAATAAGATTCCCAGCAATAATAAAGAACGTTTGCCTCTTCCAATTGCCGGGCAGTTTTACATCATTACAGATAAGTTATTCCAGAAAGTGACTGCCTAATATAGCATGGCAAAGTTGACAAGCTGATGACCAGAATTTGCCCAGAGGTCAAAGCATTTTACTTTCTCTCCATAATTGATAAGGGGAGAGCAGTTCTTTAGGTTTTGGATAATGGCTGGGCCAGAAATGTCTCGGCTGGTGAATATCATTCTTGCAGGATGTAAACATGGCTTTAATTTATAACGGTCTGTCACTATGTGGACTCTAATTTACTAACTACTGTATCAGCCAAGCTGCAGTAGGTGTTACAAACAAGTCATGGGGGGTACGCATGTCTCACTTTCTCCTCCCACTCTACTCTACTCACTCTGTGTGTGACATCTAAATATTCAATTTTTAATTTTCTCTATTGTCATTCAGTACCATGCCCTTTAGTTTTGGTCCCCACAATTGCCTGGTCATCTCTCATCCTTAAAACAAGTCAAAACACTGTATCTCAAAAGATAGATGACAAAAGACAGCTCTACAGAAGTGGCCAGATGTGAGATGGCTCCAAGGCTTCAATTAAGCTGTTGGAAAGAAAAGCCACAGGCTCCAGGACCAGAAGACGAGGAGAAATCAAAATATCTTATTTAGCTAACAGCAAGAGGACCAAAGCTGAGGGACGAGCTGCTGATGCTGCAGTAATTCTCTTCGGACTGACTGATGGATTGAGATTAGGTTCAAACCATTAGACTAACCACAGTGCGTGAGCCTTTGTAACTTTAGATTGGTCCTGTAATGCTTCTGATATGATTTTATCAGGACAAAATGGCGGAATTTACATAGAAAAGCCCCACAAAGACTGACATGGCTCTGCCAAGAAGACAGAATACATGTTCAGATGGATGTAAACCACCTCCAGCTTCAAATATGTTTGCTCCTGCTTTGGACTGCACACTCCCCCAGCCTCTGACTGGAAGAGGAACAAAACTGCAGTGTCAGTTTTTTAATTCAGTCACCCAAATGAAAATCTGTTGGCAAGAATGTAAATATAAAACATCACAGATAGAGAAAAAGAGGGGAAAAAACTGCAAAAGTTCAAATCAAAGGTACTTGAAAATATTGCACCTCAGCCCCTACAGTTTTTTTTGTTTTGTTTTCAATATACATCCACTTATTGTTCACAACAATATATTTTGTCTCTCAAAAAATACAGGGGATCATGCAAATATAACAGCTTTTCTTTTATGTGGTACACTAAGTTAAGCTTTCTCAGTTCTTAAACCTTTATAACATACATCATTGCAAGTACTTTAAGTCAATCCCTTGATTCCCAGTAATCACCCCCCTCCCCCATTGAAACAAAGAAAAGAAAAAAAGACAACCAACTAAAAATAGAAAAGCACACAGACATATCAAGAGATCAGGCTGAGTATAAAACATCCATAGAAGCGCTTTTTTTTCCTTAGAGTCTTTTTCTCTTTTGTCTAGTATACAAAATTCACAGATATTTCACAGATTGAGTCCTTTTTCCCATCTCTGGAAACTGGGTCCAATCAGGTGGCAAACCTTAGCCCAACTTGGCTCACCGAAGGATTTTCAAATGCTCTTCTGCTCAGTCACACTGATTTGGAGGCAACTCGCTTAGCCAAATGCCTTTTGATGACACAATTTAACTGCCTCCAACATAAACAAACTGTTAGATTTTGCCTATGCGTTCCTGGCAGTCAGGAAGGAAACTGGCAGCCTATTTTCCAAATCTCAGTTGGAAGAAGAGCGGCCGAGAGGACAGTCACACTACATGTCTCGTTTTTCTCAACTGACTTCTTTCAAGTTAGGGCGAAAATGCATGATTTTGTCCCACAAGCCCATCTGTGGCTATTGTAAAAAAGAAACTCGTCCATTAGGCAACTTTAGCACATTATCCACACAGGCTAATCTCCCACGCAGTCAACTGACAGACAACAGACTATTAGACAAACGGTCTAAATATACCAAATGAAAGGCTTTGTCAGGGCTGATACCTGCCAGTCACCTTCCCTCACATGAAGTGCAAATGAAACGTTTTGCTCAGTGGCTTATCTGGGTCGGTGGATCATGTTGTCCGTGGTTTACCTATACTTCAGCATCTTTTATCACAGCTGTCCGTCCGCACTGAACCAAAATACCGCTTCATTCTCTTTTCCCCCGGAGGATCTTACGATGTACTTTCCCAAGAGGAGAGCAGTGATTTTAGTTTAGTCATTATGTGACTCACTCAAACTCACATTTACATATTCCATCTTAATCATCTACCCTTGCTTTTGTGTGCTTATATTTTGCATTGGGGAATAGAGGTAAAATTTGAAAAAAAATATTTTCCACGCCACGCTTATTTCTCAGTATACCATCTCAAAATGTATATGAGACAGCCACATTGTTTAAATTGGCCCCGACTTTGGGCATAAGACAGTCTTAATTGATTAAAAGACACTGGAAAAAATACTTGGGATTTTTAGGAATATAGCAACATAGCCAGCCACTGCAAAAGGATTTATAGTACAGTAGATGGCTTTTTGTGTCTTTTCTTTGCTGTGGGTCTGACACAAACGGGGGGGATGGCACTTTAATGTCTACCCATTTCTAAACAAGGTGACCTTCACAGGTTCTGAGAAAGTGAGGGCAGAAAGGAGACTTTTTTCATTCTTTTTTACAGTATAGGACATAGTAGAAGCTAATTCCAGAAGGTTTGGCTTGTTTTGCTGAGGACGTGAAACGGGACGATTGCAGATACCTCATGTCTTTAATTAGACAGCAACAGAAAAGCATCAGTAACCTTTATGCAATCTGTAGTTACATATCAGAGATTAATTACAGTCTAATGCATTCCATATCTGACTTTCTTTCAAGAATGTTTAAGTTTGATTAATTCCTTATGTAAAATACTTTGGAAAAAGGGTGCCAGAATATTATGCAAACTAGTTTCAAGCTTGTTTTGACACATCGTGAAAAAGCTCTCAGAATGATCACACAAATGTTCTCAACTTGTGGGCAAGTCATGTTATTTTGTTCATTAAAAAAAAAAATCTTTCTAAATCAACTGTGAGCAGAAGAGCAGCTGAACATGTATCACCTGAAAGTCTGTTTCCTGAAAAACACAATAATGTAGTGAACATGTTGATAAAAACAGAAAATGTGTGAGACTGAAGTCATCCATGAAAGACAAACTTTCTGTTACCTTACATGTTTTGTCAGGTAGGTGAATAGAATGGCCGTTTACATGAGGACCGTGTACACATTTGTGAACATTTGCTGTTGTATTTCTTTTCAGAGTCCATTCCTGTAAACTTGTTATGGCAGTTGAGAGTGTGGTAGTCAAATGCATCAAGTTCTTTCCGTGGGATTAGATTCTTTTAAAGCACGGCAGCAAAGAACAAACAAAAAAAAAAGATTTTTTTCTTGGTTTGGTCGTTTAGTCTTTATTTCATCCTTTGGAAACTTTTGTTATTTCAAATGACTGAAGTGCAGTGGAGAAGTTAAACATTCCAAGACTTTTCCATGTTTATGTTATGCTGTCCTGTCAGAGAAAAGAATTCGGATGAAGGTGTCCATCCTAGATTTTCTATAACTAAAAGACTACAGCAAATATGTGCATTTTTACTTATTTATTTTCTTGTATTTAACTCTTACAACTGAACACTTAATCAAAAAGATGAACCTCAAGTGCAACCACACATTTTAATAAAAGCAAGGTAAATTAAAAGGGTCAGAGTTATAAATGTTTTTTTAAATAGCAGGATGAAGAATTATACACCGGTCAATAGAGAAAAAATAAACGTACTTTGCATATTTCCTGTTAAACTTGCATTTCTTCACAAAAACGATGAACAAGTTGCGCAGCAAGAAAAATAATTTCTGATGTTCCCCTATGAGCAGAGCTGTTTTAGTACCCTGCCAACACCATATCTCCATCACATTAGTCCTTTAAAGCAGTGAAAGGTGGTAGGAAATGTGTAAAGAATCAGAAGAGAGTTCCTGACACTGAACAAGATTGCCATCAACTTAAACATGAAGCAATGATGCTGATTTCACATTTTTAGGGAAAATTCAACTGCAGCAAGAATGCTGGGCAATGACACTAGCACTTATGAATATGACAGGTAGATCATTTTAGTAAAGATGGTGAAAAAAGGCCAGATTATTCCATATCATAAAGATCATGTGATGGCTGAGTGAGCAAGAAGCATTATAGAGTTGAGGATTATCACAATCATGTGATGTCCAGAATGAGGACAAGACTATAAACATTATGAACACGAATGACATCTGTACATTTGTACATGCCATTAATAATCTACTATTGTTCAGACTCAGACAACCAGCCACTGGGCAAAATATTGACAAATATTAATTTAAGTTAGTTTGGCCATATACAGTATAATCTGACAAGGCATGCCAACACCTGCTAACATTGACCACTGTGTACCAGACGCCACAAAAACAATCATGAGGCAATAAGTGCAAGCGGACATGCCTGCCACAAATTGATTAATTGAGTTCTCAATTATAGACAACAGTAGCACTAATTTCCAGAGCAAAAGAGACACATTGGCAGTAATCAGAATTGTCCTTTCCCACTGTGCCTCATTCAGTTTTAATGTTGGAGAAAGGATCTGGAATGTACTTCAGTACTTAGTGGATGAAGACAATAAAATTCCCCACAGCTGGCAAGGAGATTCTCTTGAGCTGCGTAAAATATTTGTATCCCCTATGACAACTTTCCATTTGTTACCCATTCTTCAGGTTTTGTACCAATTATCATTTCTACTTTTTTCTTTGAAAGGACGTAACGTAAGGTATTCCTGCACTTTGCTTCATGTAAAATCAATTACATTATCATACACTTTCACGTAAGTAGCACTTTAGGGATGACTCAGTTGCCCTCTGTGGTACAGCACACTGTGATCTCTGCTCTGATCAGCATCCAGGCAAATGAATTTTGGGACTGTTTGGTTCATTTGTACAACGCAATCTTCATTTACTTCAGTTACTGAACTATGTAAGTGTGTTTGGCTCTGACTGAATCACTGCTATGTCCCATCTCAATCTCTCTCTCATAAATTACAAATGCTCTACAGTCTAAAAACCCACCTGACTGTTTTATTGTTAATTTCTCAACAGTTATTCATTCCTTCCTCAGTAACCCAGGCTTCTGAGTGGCAAATAACTAACCCTTAAGGAAGATATGATGTAAGAGAACAGTGTACATATTGTTCAATAATTCACTGTCATCCATAACACTGATGAGCGTTGATCCCACCATGTCATAGATGGCCATATTTCACACAGCCTTGTGGATGCTGCAAAAGAATGTAAAACCCAGCATAAAACAAGAAACATCTTAGATCGAACAAGCTTAAAGCTTGAAATAAAACATGGCACTGATAAAACCACACTGATTTACAGAGTTGGCATTTTTTCCCAGTATAATAAATGACATCCGGAAACAAAAAATACAATTGAAAAACAGTGCTACCTTGAAGTGTAAAATAAAACATGGTAATGACACTCCAAACCCAGGCACAGTTACACAGTACTTGCTTTAGCACAATAGTCTGTACACCTAGCATGCCAAAACAAGGGGGAAAAACTGAACAAAGCAAAACAAAAACATTGAAAAGAAAAAAGAGACAAAAACAAAGAGAACCCAAAGGCAATAATTTGTCCTAGATTTTTCTCCTTATAAACTTAAACTAGTTTATCTGGCCAAAATAGTCAGTCACGAAAAGAAGTAGCGAAAACTCTTTTTCCTTAACTGCTCAGAAGTCACAGCTTCTGCTGAGCAGACACGCCTTTCCAATAATCAAGAATGTCATGCAGGTCCTCACCTTTAGCAAACTGCACCTTTTTTCGAAGAGCATTTCCAGCCGTAACATAACAGGCCTCATCTCGCGGACCTTTCCGGTAGGGGCGAAAACGCTCCCAGATCCGCAGTGAGCTCTCTGAGGAATACTCTGGGCTGGAAGAGTATCCCGAGTAGCTGGAGTGGTGGCGGGCAGGAGAAAGCTGGGAATATGATGCAGCATCCCTGCGGGACCGCGTCAGGGGTTTTAGGAAGGACACTCTCTGGGCTGGGGAACCCTGGTGGGATCCTTCGTAGTAGAGAGCTGGGACGGAGTGGCGGTGCTCCGAGCAGTGGTAGTCTTGCTGCACCTCCAGCTGCTGTTGCTGCTGCTGTATTTGCTGCTGTTGATGATAGTGGTGTGACTTTTGGTTGTCCGAAAGTTGGGCACCAACACCACCACTGTCGCAACCGCCACCACCCCCTCCACTACAGCCTCCACTCCCCATTAAAGGCAGCCTCTCCAGAGGCTCCCCGCAGCCCACAGGACTGGCCCGGTCTGAGTACGGCTGCTGCTGATTGCAGGCATCTGGGCTCCGTGGTTCAGGAACATCCAGGCTATACACTCTCGCTCCTCCACGTTCCCTGTCGCGACCCATGGAGCTACAAGATGTGGTGCTGCTCTGTTTCTTGACAGCGTTTGCCATGACCACAGCTGCATCTGCACTCATCTGTCGCTGAATGGGACGCACGGCGGTGGCTGGAGGAGGGTGCCGATAGGGAGGAGTAACAACAAAGCCGCCACCACTGATACCTGGACGCTCAGAGAGAGGAGCATTCAAGGCAGGTAGTGGGGGAGGAGGGGGGATTTTGTTTGGAGCAATGACCTGACATGTCTCTGTTACCCCTGGGGAGAGTGGAATTAGGCCACGAGTGAGGGACGAGGTGCTGGTGGGAGGAGGGGAGGTAGGATTAGAGGAGGCTGTGGGGTTAGTTGAGGCGCCTGAGGCAGCAACTGCTGCTGCATCCAGTTTCAGAGCATCGATGCAGTTGTTGATGATCTGGTTAACCTTGTCCACCTCCATGGCAATGGTGGAGATCTCTGAAGCAGAGCCATGTCCATCATCATCTGAGTCATCACCAAGATCAGTTCCGTCATCGTCTCTCAGGTTTTCTCCCCTCATCCCTCCATGTCCACCATCTCCCACTCTCTCCATCCCTCCTCCTCCAGTTCTCACATCCATATAGTTTCCTTTACTTGTAGCCATGGCTTCAGAAAAGGCAGTGGCCATCTTCTCCACTTGGGGAATAGAAGAAAGTCTTGAGGAGGTGGTGTTAGCCGAGTGGAGCATGCCGGAGCTCGAGGAAGTGGAAAGTTTCCCGCCATGGTGGTGCTGATACTGGTGATGTTCTCTGGACTGCTCCTGAAGTTTTTGGACTGCTGATGGGTCATTTGCTACTGCTGCTGCCACCTCTGGCCCATAACGCATTTCAAGAATAGTTTTCTTGACACAGATAGACTTCTTCTTCTCATCATGCATCCGCTTCTTACGTAGACAATAGTAGACAATTCCTAAGACAATGAGCATGCCAAATAAGCATCCCACAATAGTCATTATGTAGTGAGTAGTGGTGGAAGGTGTGGGGAGCATATCATCTGGACTGACACCCCGAGTTGAAAACTGGAGGCAGGTGTGATTATAGCGTTGAGAATTCCGGATGGAGGCAACACAGAAGGTGTAATTGTTGTGGGGCTTCAGTTTGTTGAGAGTGATCATCTCCTTCTTATTCCTTAAATTCATGACATCAGACACATACGTGTGATTGTACTGTGTTAGGATATACATTTTGCTAAAAGGCATTGGGATCTTCACAAGTAGAGAAGCAGACGACAAGGAGACATGTTGAAGCTTGATGCTGGGACTACTGCCGTCTTCAGTCGATGAGGAAGAGGTGGTAGGATGGTGGTATGGGACACCAAACATCTCTGGTCCCAGCCCAGAAGGACCGTCCAGATCTGGTGGGAGAGAGGTCATACCTGGAATCATCACACCGTCTCGGCAGTGATGGTGCAGAATGGTTTTGGCATTTCGGCCAGCGTGGCCAGCCGCTATAGGACTCAGTAATGGGTAGCCAAACATTTCTCGGGGCGTCTCACACTGAAGGCGGTCATAAGTTTGTGACACGTTGTTGAAGAACTCCAACCAGGATAGGAAGCTATAAAGATCACAGCCACAGTGGAATGGATTTGCAGCCAACTCACACACCATCAACCGATTAAGAACTGTGAAAGTAGAGGGGTCAATACGTGTCAGTTTGTTGGATGACAGGTCAATGCTGCTCAGGCTTGGGCACTCCCAGAATGCATTGCTAGCAATAACCTCAATGAGGTTGTGCTGCAAGAAGAGGCACTGCATGCGGCCAAGCCCTCTCATCATACCCTCAGTTAAATTTGTCAACTTGTTGTAGCCCAACTGCAGAATCTGTGAGAAACACAAAGCAGCATTATGGCAGCTTGATCTTTTTTCATTTAAATTACAGAACTTGTCTTAATGAATATATTTGCTTTTTCAAAAATGAATAATGCCTTAATTAAAAGTATTTATCCTGCATCCAATTCCTTTTTAATGAAAGTTTAAAAAAAAGCCTAAATAAGTCACACCTATTCAAAATATAAGTACATGTAGTTTAGACTTTACATATGAGGGCATCCTTAATATATCTTTGATCTAACCCTAACCCTAGTTTACTTGGGAAAAATTGTCCTAATTACCTGTAGATTGGCTTGTCCTGCAAAGGCTCCATCTTCAATATAGCTGATTTCATTCTTGGTGAGGTTTAGGTCAGTCAAGTTGGTGAAGCGGTACATTGAACTGAAAAGCACAGCTTTCACCTTGTTTTCATTCAACCTCAAGTCATGGACCGTGTTGTTGATGTGTTGTGGTATAGTCTCATAGGGTGGCTGATTCTGACTGCATATAGCCAGCCAAACATAGCCTTTGTCTCCTTCAATGAGCCAGCAGTCTCCATTGACAGTGTCAGAGAAATAGGAGAAGAATAGGAGGGAGGGAAGAATAAGAGGGAGGAGAGTGAAGGTGGAGGAAGCACTGTGCATGATGCCAGTGAAAGGAAAGGACAGAGAAGGGAGGTTATAGTCAGGGGAAAGATGTAGAAGCAGGCTGAGAGCTGGGAGGATATGTTTGCAGGATCTGGGTCCGGGTTGGGTGTTGAAAAATGTCAAGGCTTCACAATGCCAGCCTCAGCATCATGGTTTTTAGCAGGGGAGCCATGCTAAGTTATATCCTTTTGAATGGCGAGGCAGGGGAACACCACTTGTCTTCATGCTCTTTCAGCAGGATCTCCCTGGGTCCTTGAAATGATCTGTAGAGGAAATACAGCAACAAAAAAAAAGTTAAATGTATTTACTAATTTTAGGTAATCTTGGAAAGCCTTCACAGAAATTCCTTCAGATTCACTCACATTCCCTCCAAAAAGTCATTTTTTCAGTGGGTTTCTCTACACTTGAGTTATGTCCTTTGGTCCTTTATCTTATAATACTATGGAATCATCAAGATGCCTACTTTTTTTAAAAATATAGCCCTGTTATGACAAGACACTTTTTGAAGAAACCAAGTACAGCATGAGTCACCCAAATCCACAGTTATTCCTTCTAATGACACCATCGTACCATAACCTAAGCTCTCTAACCCATCTGCATGTCATCGGAATAGCAGTAAAACATCTCTATACATATGAAAGGGATTATTTGCCAGATGCATCACGACTGCCTCCCCGCATACTTCCAATTATGTGCAAGTTGAAAAAAAAAAATCAACATTCAAATAGACAGTCTGTATTTTCTCTGACAAACACCATGCTTGAGTACACATAGAAAATACATTTTGTCCTCATCTAGAAATATACACGCATGCACGCGGGTACACATATATGTGAAGATAACGTGCCGGTGTATGTTTACAATGCTACACAAAGCAGTTGGTGCACTCTGATCTTAAATTTTTTAGCCCACGTCTCCTTTCCTGCACAACCTCTTGATGTCCCTCATCATTGCATGAACAAACAACAGAGGAAAAACATCTCTGTTTCTCTGAAGAACAGGCCAAACATCTTCCTTGCGCTCCAGATTCAGACTCCTTTCTAAATCCAGCGAAGAATTGAACTCATTACAGTTTATTCTGGTCTGTGCTCCCCAGAGGTAAAAGCAAAGAATCAGGTCCAACTCTTTTTTTCAGTTGGCTGGAAACTAATACAAGAACATTATTTATTTCACTACATTATCCTGTGTGCATTTGACACATTTGACATGTGGTACGGCAGTTAGTGTGATCTGGTCAAAAGTATTTAGACAGCCATATCCTCTGATCATACCTACTGCTCTGGTCATCAAACTGCATGACTCGAACATATATGTAAGGTATGCATAACATAAGCATTTCTTTAACACAATAAAAATATTTTACTTTTCAGACAGATAATGATGAAGGCTAGCCGCCATTTATGTTTTTGCTAATTAACTGGTAACTTTCAGCAGGAATAGCTGTGACTGATATGTTCTGTTCTACCTTTTTATTGATGAATGGCAAATCCCTTTCTTCTGTTCCACTGCTCAATTTGAAGACAAGCAGCCAATCACAATTCTTTTGCAATTCATTGTCCTGCTCTCACATCTGAGGTTTATCCCCTCCACGTGAGACATGATCTGATTCGGTGCTCTACATAGTGAGACCTAAAGGGAAGGCAGAATGCTCATGAGTGCCTGTTTAGGCATGCGATTACAAAATTAGGAATACGGGACATGCAGCAATCCCTGCCTCAAAGGTACAACAAAGTCTTAACACCGATTCATTTGTTACTCTAAAATTTTGGAACAAACTATCCTGCTCTTTTTCCCTTCTGTTTCTGTACATTAATATAATTCTGAAACAATTTAGCAATCCCCAAAATGTTTACATTGAATTGTTTAGATCATGTAAAGTTTTTTTTCTCTCACTATAATAAGCTTGAATACAGAAATTGTATTCTTCTACATGTCGAGACTACAGTTGACCTAAACACGCGGCCTGATTGTAGGTCATATTCACAGATAATAAGTGACTCATTATTTTAAACATCAGAAGGAACATCCCTGTCATCATCCTTCCAAGAACCCCTGAAACAATCCTTTTTCACATCTAAGGGAACGTTTGCTTTCAGCGCCGCTTGTTTTTGGCCAAACATCCCTGTGATGCTGCGGCACTTTCTTTTACCCCTGTGTGCTGTTGTGTTCGTTTACATGACAGAGAAGGTGAAGGTTTGCACTAAGAGATGCAGTTATAAGCCAATTATGCACTCAGATCTATAAGAATCTTATAAGCCGAGTACGTATTTTATACAAGTTTTCTCTAACTGGATGTGATCTCTCATTATATTAAGCCCTTTAATCTCACTAGTCTTTAAAAAAATACTATAGTTTTGACAGCATATCCTACATCTATAATTACTGTAGCAGCTGAGTTCAGCAGGTTAATTGAATCATTAACATAATTGCACAACCGGGCTACACTACATATCTAAAGTAAAAAAAAATGCATTATGTCGTGTTCATTATGCTATGCGTACATTTCCCAGTTGTAATTTTCTGTGACTATGTCTCCAATTGTCACTTTTATAACAAACCAGACATCATACTATAAATCACATTTCTTTGTGAAATATGAGGTACTGAGCTTAAAAGCCCAAAGAGATAAGAGGTTAAGGGTCAACATCATGAAGAGAGCTCTGGTTTTGTTTGTGATAGAGCAGTTTTGTTTCTGATGTCTTAGAGCTGTGGATGGCCCCAAAAACCCCTACAAAACAACGTATGACTCGTACGTAGTTCACCATTCTGTCCTTGATCTTGCCCTCATAAGAGCAGATAGCAAACTCATGAAAAGGCAACCTCATCACTAACTTACATTCCCTTATTTCTAACAAGTGGGATGGCATTCCCCTCCAAAACTAAATAAAATTAAAACTATTTCCTTAATGTCAGTATGCGTGTTCTACTTCACCATCAAATACATGAGTGAAAAAAAACAGGACATTTTCAATACTCTTTTCTTCTTATGTTTTTTGCCTAACCCAACAACAAGACAAGGTTCAGACAACTAACTGGATTAGAATAAATTAAACTGACCACACCAACAACTTTCAGCTTTAAATATAGTGTTCATTCTTTAATATATAAATATATGTCCTTCAAATGTTATATTAACTACATATTTGCCGTAATCCTTTTTTTTTTAGTTAAACATTGAAATGTGACAATTTCCTTGTTTGTTAACTTAAAAAAAATATGCAGTGGCCTTACAGAGAAAAAAATCTCACATTTATAGTCTGAAGTGGTCTGAACACCATGGAACTAATTTGGAGCTATAAAACTTTTCATGGTCTAAACCTGCGTGAGAAAATGTGCACACTTTGTGTCGACTGAACAATCCTTTCAATAAACCATTTTCTATGTGGAGTCCAAGATATAAACTGATTTATTCAAACCCAAACATTGTTCAAATATAACATACGTACAAGTTGTTCAATGTCAGCTTTACAAATCTTTTGTGAGGTACACATTTCACACAAACGCACACACTGACAGCCTTATCCTTTCATGCAACACAGATCTGGGTTATTCAGTGTGAAGCCTTCTATTGATCCTCTCTGTTACCATGGGAACACTTATATGATCGACAGTTCTAATCTGATCTTCTGCTAAAAGAAGAGAATGTCGTTACCATTCGAGTCAAAACAGAATGTCACTTCTGTTCCATTACGAACAATAATCCCTCCTTCATGAATTCTAATGGCATCCACTGAACACTGATTGTGACAGGTGCTGGATTTGGAGGGGGTCCATATCTAATCTGAACTATTACCAACAGGACTCTTGGATGCGTGCCACTGCCAGCCTGAATGTAAATTAATTGGCTGTGACCTCTTGCGCTTCTGCCCGTGTATGATTTTGTCATATTAAAAAAAAACATCACCTGCAGATTATTTGCTCATTTAACTCACAAGTCAAAAACAAGGAGAGGAGCACATTTGTTCATGTAAAAGCATTCCATTTAATTTGTGCTCAGAACCTGTGTGTGATTAGTGGGTGATTTAGTCAGACAGGAATTAATCACAAAATCAAACAGGAATCCTCTGCTTTGTGGGTTTTTACCGAGGGTTAAGGGAACCAGAAAAATATGAAAATAATATAAAGCGTTGCAGAAGGCCGATTTTAAATGTATGGACCTTGTATGGACCTTGGATACTGGTTTTGACTAAAATGAATGATTCAAAAGAGTAACAAAAGTCTACTGCTGCCTCTAACAGAGTCTGACTAGTGATTTTCTTCTATGTATCTTATTTAAGGCTAATGCTTACTGTAATGTTGTATCTGCATTGTACATTGCTTTGGATTAAAGTGTCTACTTAATGCAGAAACACAAATAAAAATAAAACACCTCCGATTAGCAACAAGTCCTCCACATGTCATGATCTTGTAGGTCTTTTTGTATTACTCCCAAAAATGATTTAAAATTACCTGCTGGAAAGTTTTGCCCCTACGAGTATAAAAACAGAAAAAAATTACTCATAAGCATTTTCACAGATGTCAAGATATAATTCATCAGTCTTCTATTTTTGAGGTCTGAAACTGGTCATGAGAAAGATGGGTGGTTGGATGAATAAACTAAGTCCTGTGCTGACAGATCTTGTACCTTTGTGTGACATGTGATTGAAATGAATATGCTTTCAGCCAGAAACCCTAAGGCCCTTGAGTAAAGCATTTCATGGATGAGTTTAAGGGATCGCTTTACTTTTTAAGCGTAAGAAAACAATCAATGTAAATCACTCAATTTCAGATAGATTTGAAGAGATTTAAAGACATTGTACAAAAGGTAAAGCCAGAAAACATAGTTTTCCATAGATGTAAATCAGTCATTTCCAAAATGAAAGTATAATTGCAAAATGTTACAAGGTAGTGATGCCTTTCGTAATGCTAAATAAAACTGATGTATTCCTACTTGGTGGATGTAAGGTTTCTTTTCTTTTTGTATTCCTAAAGCTACCTCAAACCCACATCTTATCAGCACGTTAACTTGAAATTCATAGAAAACAAAAATGAATCATAAACAGGGAAAGACTGTAGAGATTAGATTTAACTTCTGTTGCTGAGTGAAGAAAAAGAAAAAGACAAAATATCAAATAAGGGGACGCATTCACTGACTCCCCTCCTAAGCAGCCAATGGCACATCCTGCCAGGTGCTCGAAAGAGTTTCAAATCAATCTCACTGAATAAAATGCCAATGATATATCTTTTTAGCTTGGACCTGTTGGCATGCTGATCCATGCCAATGCGCT